GTGCTTGACATACCCGGTGTGACGATACTCGACAAGTTTCGGATACTGCGGAACACGAAAACAACGATATACGACCGTTTGTGAGTAACTTATTTTTCAAATCGAGACAGATCGCAACTGCGTCGTTGAAAATCAAGATGAAGGATATTTTGACAAAAACTTGTAAGGAACGTAAAGGATTGAAGCCCTGTCTCTAAACGCCCCCTGCGGCATTCTTCCTGTCCTATTGCACGTACGAGTTGATTAGCAACGGTATATGGAGACGTTCAGATTTCTGAGTCATTCATGATCTCCAGGGTGCACATCAGTTAATATGCCATGTAATTCAGGAATAATATGTTGCACGGTCTGGTGTTCTCAACGGAAATCACTGTCTTCCGTCTGAACAGGGAACAACATTGCTTAGTTCAATCCATCATCGGTTGGTCGTACATATTTCTTTATTTAAAATACTTTAAGTGTTCTTTTCTAAATTCATACTCATTCAGATACTGCACCAAACTTTTAGACAAAAGGTCTTCTGATACAACGGCTACTCCCACAATTAAGATACATCGATTCAGTCTGTATCCTAGGCCGACGCGTTTCGTACGACAATCACACTGTTTATCATCAGGGCACGTGCTAGAATGGGCTATGTGTTGCTGCCCAAAACGAACGCTAATAAAAACTTTTGTCGACATATTCTCTTCGCGCGTATGAATATTGTATCGGATAAACTTCTGTCTAGAAAACTTGCTTTAAATTTCGTTGTAAAGTTAAACTGTTAGTTTCATGCACCCTACTAAAACACTTATCCTTGCTTATCCTTGTGGCTTTAATGACTCAATTTATGCTACCGAAACTCGCTCCACCATGAAGATGTTTATACCACGTCGATGCGCTCAATCATAAATGGATGGAGTGCCCTTTTTTCAACTTTACCGTTGCTCACTGCAGAAAAAAAAGCAACAAATGAATAAGGTTTACAACAGAAACGCGAGCCTCGTTAAAGAGAGTTATACCAGTACAGGACTGTCATGCACAATATTTGTTAAGAGTCCTTTATTCTGCAAAATTATTGAATCTGATGACCCATTCGGAAACTGCCTCTTACCGATTAGCAGGGTCCCTTTTACTGAAGTATTTTGTCCTCATCGCTGTATGTTCGGCCACGCCCGAAATAGATAACGGCGTGAAGTTTACATAAGAGAATGCAACGGTGTCTATTCACTTCATGTTACGCTGATCTTGTCCAATGAACCTAAATGAACCTCAAAACGGTTGGTAAAGAGACAGTGGCTTCTATGGCAACACTGTTTAACGCAGGGATATGTTAATTGTAAAAATATACAATATGACTATGGGACCATTCTTGGAGTAGGGCTAAAAATGTTACACCACAGTGGGCGGAAAATAAAGTTTTAAATTTTGACATCCAGTTTAAAATTACCCTCAGATTTACGCAAAATGAAGAAGTGATAAAGTGCAGATAAGAGACAAAGATTCGCCGAGAAAATTTATCGATGAATGGTTCATGAAAAATAATAATACTTTTATACGGAATTAGCTCGTTCTTACTATAGACGACAGCAGTTAGTAAAACACTTCCTGTATGAAAATAATGCGTCACTGTTTGCTATAAACAAGATCACGTTATGGTGCACAGAGGGAGAATTAATGCAAGACTTACTGAAGAAGCATAGTAATAAACAGTTTATGCTACAATGGAATTTCCTAGATCATCTTACGGACAAACGGTTGTTTCAGAAGAAAACTTTCAAGTCTGAGAATTAGGCCCCTTTCGTTGGTTCAAAACAACTCATATAATAGTAATGCGAGGCAATGTTGAGATTCATATACGAAATGAAAATTCACTAAGAAAGCCTATCGGTGAATCACCAAAGCTTGGCAGGCTGATTTTTTCAATGGCTATTCGATTGCTTACCATGAAAAGTATGAGACAAAAACACTTTTTAACTTTATGATCTTATAGGGCATCGAATTTACTCACAATATCGTATATAATGAGGGAGAATTTAACACCATGAAAAAAACTAATGCTAGCTGTAAAAGAGGTATGCTAAAAAGTTACTGACACTATCTTGGAAAAATCTTTGGTATCCATTATGAGCAAATACTGATCAAAATTTGAAAAGTTCTTAATGCCATGCTAATTCACATAACATCCATTATATACAGATTCTCCCACTTTTCGGATCATGATCAATTCGTTTTCAAGGGGAAGCATTGTAAAGTGGTGCAGTATACATTGGTGCAGTCAGATATAAATTTCATGATTTAAGCCTCGAGAGTGGAAACTGCTTCATAACTTCGTCGCAATGTTAAACTTAGTTTCCTACCCACGTCTTTACTCCTGCATCGTGTCGACTGAATTACCAAGGCTTCCATTCTTTTTTTTCAGGCTT